TAAGTTTATCAAAATTAATAATAATGGATTTAATTTAAAACATTTTATTAGACAATAATGTGAAAATCAAAAAAAAAAAAAAACAATGTGACTAAACCCGCTCACCACTAGTAGTTAGTTCTAATGAATGTCATGTTAATACAAATTGAATAAGTGTACGCATTGAAAATACGCGCTATATATTTTTATTTAGGTGGTTAAGGCTATGTATTCTAAAAATAGTACTCATCTCGATCACAACGAATCCACACACCGTGCAGCTCAACACATCATCGCTACCATATCCAAACAAAGCCCACGCGCAGCAAACGCAATATTAAAATTGTAATACTCGTTCGGGTACTGTCGCGGTCGCGTAAAGGTTTTTGATTAAATAACGATAGTTTTGTATTCGAAGTCGAACGTATTTTCTAGGGGGGGAAGAATCACTGATATTAAAAAGAGATACAGTAAACCAGTGAAAAACTAAATAAATATTTTTTTTTTCTCGATAAAAAAAATCGTACCTACGTTGAATCTTACGAATATAATATCGTAGTTGTAGTGTGTATTCATCATATATATGTATATTGTAACTTACACAGCGCTGTCGCCATCAGAATTCAAAGCGAGATTTTATAATGAAAATTCGACGGACTTGGCTTCGATCCAACCGTAATAAAGAGTGTGTGCAGCAGCAGCAGCGTTATTGCTGGTTGCCGTATTGTATAGATAGTCCGCTCGTTGCGTGTTTCACACAAGACTCGTTTCACATATTAATACAAACATTATTTCATAAAATATTACACTGGGAACAGTAGAGGAGTAAACCGCTATCAATACCGGGCGAATAGGTGTATAAAATAATATGGTATAATAATATTATGTGCGAGCACAACAAAACCGTGTGATAACATTAATATTATACAAAACTGTGTGTGTGTATGTGTTATACGAAATTATAACAATTTTTCCAACAAACCAATAATACATTTTTTATTTCTCGAGAGCCGTTTCGAACACACGAAAAATGTTTAACAAAAAAAGATCATTGATCAATATTGTTTAAATAACAGTTCGACGAGTCTAGCGGATTTGAAAAAAAAAAAAAAAACATTACAATGTGATTATTATAATACTTAAAATAATTATTATTTCATCGAACCCATTCAGAACGTTAACGTTATTTCTCATATATATATATATATATATATTTATTTATATATATATGTGTGTGTGTGTGTATACATATCTACGTATTATAAATAAAACGCATACGCATATTGTGAATATAACAACAGCAACAGCAGCAGCAGCAGCACTGCTGCAGAGCAGTACCGCGGTGGCGGCGGTGTCTGGTTGTGTGTAGGAGTCATTACCCAGTCGCCACAGCTGTTTCTGGTGAGTAACCAACATCAATGCACCCTTTCACCGTCGTCGTAGATAAGAAAACGTTATTTTTATTTAATTAAAAACATTTCATCGTAATACACCATACATAATATAATATGTGATATAATGTTGCGTATAGGGTGCATTACGAAGCACCGACATTCTTCATTGCGTACGATTTTAAAAATGTCATACGTCCGCGATATTATAGGTACCGTAGTACACGTTTATAAAATATCAATACGGACATGTGTTGTTACAATAATTACCGCGAATGTAGTGTTGATGTTTTAATTTTAGTTATAATACGACGGAAACCAATAATATTCGTATGGTATATAGTGCAGTGCGCGCATGGTCAAACGATTATTGCTTTTTAGGCGTTATCGCATTACAGTACAATGTACACGTTTGTTTCCATAAAAAAAAGGTCAAAATAGATATCTGTCATTCTTAGTACTAATAAAATGTAGAAACAGTGTAACACATATGGACGTATACACGTCGTACGGTTAAAATCCGATTAAATTATATGTACTACGCGGGAAAAAAAAGAGTTAGACAAACTGAAATATTATGAGTCGACTTGGTACAAAGGATTATCGAATTCTATACCTACACCGTGAAAATCTAACAAGATGTTAATATTCGTCGCGCGTATAAATCATGTAAACTACTCATCGCCCAGACATGTAAAACAAAGAAAAAAAAATGAAATACCCTAAGAGAGTGAGATTATTCATGTACGTAACATGTATATTAAAAGATTCATTCATTATTATTCACCACCACCACCATCACTACCAGGCACCGCAGCATAATACGTATTATAATAATAATAATAATAATACATGGTAGACATATATGCTAATGCACCGGTCGCAGGTACTTTATAATATATATATATATATATATCAATAACATCTTATATCAACAAATTGTTTTATGGTATATATTATATGTATTATTTTATTATTCTAACGAACCGTATACACGTTCGATAACAGGAGAATATCAATCAACAAAGTATGCACACGACCACGTAGAACACGTAAATAAAATTGGTGTTATATTCGTCGGACAAAACAACGGCTTAGACGAAAAATGATGTACGAGAAAATCGATGGTTCCATTCGATTAATTAAACAATATTTCGTGCGACTAAAGAGTTCTCTGGAAAATTTAAAAAGAACCTATTGGTATAACGAAAAGAAAAGAGCGGCGTTAATAGAAACAACATATTTACATTTTCAATTCCTCTACAATTCTGTTAATTTTATGTCATACTGGTGTGAAGAACTTCATGTTTATAAATATATTTATGTAAACATACATTATTATATCCATTGTACATAATATTATACTTGCATATACATGGATATATACATGTATTCATGATAATAACAAATCATTGCTTCTTTCGTCATCATTATTTTATTATTAGTATCCACTTGACACAAACTAAAGATCTTAGAAGAATTAAATGAGTCGTCTCCGACTCTATATTTTGGTGTTTTTCCTTATTTTTTTTTATTTATTTTTTTTTAAGGAGTTAAATGTCGCCTATTCTATAGTGATTGTTATTTAAAAAACCGGAAATGTCTTTTCTCGCGCCGGCGGAACACATTATTAGTATCATAGCCGTTGTAATAATAACAACAAGACATTATACTACAAGATTGTTGAGGAGACCGTAACGCCGCTGTTTTCCTATTATAATTTAGGGATGGATGCGGCCGGTTTAGTTTAGTACCCTTCTGATAACAATAATAAATCTTTCTCACTGCCGCTTTTGATTTTTCTGTATCATCTGTTAGTTACACGTCGCTACTGTCTGCGTTGTTTTTATTGTCATCGCTAAAGAACCGCCGTCGTTCGTTTCCTTTGCTTATAATATATTTATTTATTTTTTTAAGAATCTAATAATAACAATTGTCAAAATAAGTGGCGTGTGTATACGTTATTATTGTTATTCCTGCGATACTTCCTGTAAGCAACGCAACGATCAGGTGAATGGCGGTAGAAAAACCGGATGCACACAGCACCGCATCACTAACACCGGATGGACGATGGTCGCAGAAGTTAATATATATTTAGTCACGTAGATATTAAAATAATAATATGAAAAAATATAAAAATTATATGTGTATAAGAGTAATTATTTAACTTGGCAAAACACGTGTTATGTAATATGAGAAAAAAATTAGTCTACTTATGACATGCGAGTTTTCAAATTAAACATAATATATTTAATATTTCTAATTAAATAATATTTTTCAACTAGGACGAATCAATCACCATCATTCACCTCCTAAATACACAATGAGAGCAAATAAATGAAAAAAAAACTGTTAATTAAAACAAATTTAAACAAATTTAAATTTGAACAGAGAAAATGAAAAAATTCCAATAAAAAATATAAAAGAGAGGCAAGTTAAAATCTTCCCAATATTATTAATATTACATATATTTTAATACATATAATTAAAAATACGAATTTTTTTTTTTTTTAATTTTTGTTTTGATGAAATATAAATCTATAAACTGTAAGTATTAGGAAGCAAACAACAAGCTCAACAATAATAAGTAGTAATTTATACGAGATATTTCTGAATAATTTCATAGAAAGAAAAGTGATAGTCTTCAATTTTAAAATAAAAAATTATTTATTATAAGTGTAGGGTAAGACAAGTGACTTATTATATAAAAAAAAAAAACATTAAATTAAAGTGTTTATGGAGTTAATAATCAAAATATCCGTTAACTCATGTTAATTAATTAGAAAATTAGTTAATATATCAATTATTAAAGCACTATATGACATACCTAGATAATTAAACATAAAGATAAAAAACAAATTGTTCCATTTTTATTGTTCAACCGACATTAAGATGATGGTGTTACACCCGTTTTATTAAGAACATGTAACGTTTTTTAATTGCATACAGAATACAATGCGATATTAGTACTAAAATAATTAAGGTAAATTATCGCAATTGGGCTACTATCGAAAATAATAAACATTTCTATTGAATTCGGTATTTAATTAATTATTGCATATAAATTAATGACTTAATTGGTCTTATATCAGTATTTAATATTAATAATAACTCTACGATCATAAACTAATATTATTGACATAAGAACATTTAAATGGACAAATTAAATTAAATTATATATATATATATATATATACAATTGAATTCAACCGATATTCAATTAATTCAAATAAAGAAGTTAAATAGTTAATTTAAAATCTATCAAGACAAGTGGTACATAATGTGAAAATAAACTTTATCAATACTTCATTATTATTTTTTGTTTTTATACACAATAGACAACTTCAATAAATCATTAATATTATTACCTTACTACATTTTACAGTAATGTGGCATCAATTTCGACTTGCAAAATAGTGTTAAGAGTTTTGTGTAAAAATACAATTGCAAATTTTGAAAACCATTATTATTATAGTACTTATAAATGATAATTTATACGTAAACACAATTTGATGTGATTATTTCCAATATTTCTCAACAATTTGTCAATAAATTTATTAATAAATGATCAAAATCGTAGGTAAAAATCCATTAAGTTTACTTTAATAAAAATAGTAATGTTATACTTACTGATTGCTGAGTACTGGTTTCTACATCACACACTAAATCCCTAGGTAATTCAGTATTACTTGTCCATCGATTGACACTTTTGCTAATGCGAACTTTATTGTCTGATGATGTGACAATATTGTCAAGTATTAACTGTTGCGGTGGGCCCTGTGGTTGCTGATTTGTCACTAATGCTGTCTTTTCGCAGTCGAACCAACTTTTAGTATCCAGCTGGTGTTGATGTTGTGCGTTTTCTGGATAAAAAGCACGATCGGTGTCGTCGTCGTAATAGCACGACGAATAATGTTTGAAGTCTTCGTCAGAGTCCATACTACTCTAACCCGGTGTTAGCCACTTTTTTTAGTGACCACCGGTGGTAAAATTGTAATTTCTCGCCTATAAATAAAAAACAAGATAAAATAAATTATAAAAGATAAAAAAAAAAGAAATTAATAATTCTGGATTTTAATACCAGTATACCAATATTGTTCTAGTTTTACATTTAACCAAACCGTTTATCGTTGAGTAAATATGACCATTACACCTATAAAACTCAATATATATTTAAGTTAAAATAGGCATCTATACCATTTTATTTTTATAATCCGTTGACAACTGAAAGATTTATTAACCAACACTAAATATGCTAGAAATATTTAATAATTGTTTTTTATTATTTACTAGTTATTACTAATAAATAATAAAAATACTAATGAATGTATTGAGGATAATATTTTTAAAATGTATATCCATCGAATAAGGTACAAAGGTAGTAATACTTCTGCAGGAAAATATTTAATAAAATCACACAGATACGTTACAGTCGAATAATTTAATGGCGAATTCAATTTGGTAGATATACGTGTGCATTTGCGTAACGAAAATACGTATTATGTTGTTGCAGATAATTAAATTTTTTTTTTTTTTTTGACGGCAAAGCGTCTCATACGTGAAGTACATACGTGGGTAGCACTTAAATGCGTACGAAGTACCTACATGTATTGAAAATCGGCTATTTATTTTGGCAGAAATATACAATAAGCAATATATTAAGATCGAACGAATCGACGAGTGCAAAGCATACACGTAATCGTATTCTTTGGGGTACAAAGAACTAGAAAGTCTTCGTGATTTGCTTCTATATGCGTGTATACGGTTAGTATAAAAAAAGTAATAAGCATAGTATTCCGAAAACCACACGCAAGCGGCACACATCCCTTTTTTACGCGGGCGGCTTTCTCGGTTAGCCATAATATAATTCTCCCACGAATCTCTCCTGTCTACCACCACACGCACACACGTACGCGAACGGCATTATACACTTATATTGTGTAGTTTGCTTCTCCACCCGCCCTTTCTTTCTCTGTATATTTCTCCGACACACACGCAAGCGCTCGCGGTCGTCTCTCGTTTCTGTCCCCACCGACCCCCGTCCCAGTTGGTTTATCGTCACCAAACGAAAAAGACTAGGTCTACGACGACTACGACGACGACCGGTTGCACACGCACGCACGCGTTTGGTTAACATATAACGTGGCTACGTACACGTAATAATAATATAAAATATAATATTTATACATCTATATTAGGGAGCCTTCTGCTCTCCTTCCATTAGAATACACTCACACACACACACACACACACACACACACACACACACACACACACACACACACACACA